CCCTCCTGCCTCTCTCCCTGCAGCTGGACAAGCCGCTGACCTCCCGTGCCAACACCTCCGCACCCCGCGCCTCGGTCGCTCGTCCCTGGCCGACTAATGCACAGTCCTGTCGCCGGCCGGCAGCCCGAGCCGGCTGTTCGATGTGCTGATTGTGCGCGACCCCTCCGGCCCGCTGGGCCTCCATGTCCTTGTTTCAGATCACGGCATCGCGGTGTCCGCGGTGTCGGCCGGCAGCCCGGCCGCCCTCGCCCGGCAGTTCCGCCGGCCGGCGACGGCCCCGGCCCCGGCCCCGAGCGCCGGGCGCCGGGCCAGCACCCTCCCGACGGACGTCGACTTCGAGCCGGCCTCAACCGACGCCCTTCGCCCGGGAGACCAGATCGTAGCCATCGATGGGCTCAACCTAGCCGGGCTGAGCCGGCACACGGCCATCGAGCGTCTGCGCGTGTCGCATAAGTTCCTGGTTCTGCGTGTGCTTCGTGCATGTCCCCCGGGGGAAGGCCCGGACACGGCCGGCGATATGGGGCTCCCGCCGTTGGCAACCGCCGGCAAGGCGTGACGCTCCTGGGCATGTGTTGTCTCTGCGGGCAGGCGGACGCACATGTACACACATGCACACGCACACGCACACGCGCGCGCGCATGCGGCCGGTGGGTTTACTTCCCCCTCCCCCCCCCCACATGTCCCCTGCATCTGGTGAAAGGGGAGGGGGAGATCTCAAATGACATGACATGCGCCATCTCTGTTGCATTTGTGTATTGGTGGTCTCGTCGACCGTCCTCCCTCCGGGGCCCCCCTCATCCGTGAGAGGGGACGGACAAAGCGCGTCTAGAGGGTGGATATGCGTATTTGGAAGCAGGGGCTCGGGAGGGAGGGAGGGAGGCATCCTGTCACGCTACTCGGTGATCGAGTCCATCGTCGTGCGGAAGCAGTTGGTGACGAGGGTCCTGGAAGGGGGCGGGACGCGGGGGGAGGGGGGGGGGGGGGGAGCACAGGTCGGAACTCCAGTCACCTTGGAGGGGAAAAGCCGGGCCCCCTGCGCGAGGAGGGTCCCCGGTTACG